ATCGTCAACAATACTATAGTCAAAGTAATTTTTTCAGTTGCAATAACACTGAAGTGGTTCTCTTAACAATGCATTTCGCCGATTGATTCTATCCAAAATGAATTCCTCAAGCAAATACAAACCACAGACATTATGTTGCATTCCATTCTACTAATAAACATTATCACCACTCACGTGCCTCTTATCATCAAAATCATAAATTATTTCCAAAACAACTCTAATTGTAAGTGGGTTCGACAAATACGCATCAATCAAAGAGCATTCACTAATTTTCTGCAAATCAGAGTTGATGTTGACGTTCAGATCACATGATCTTGATATTGAGTGAACAGATCATTTCAAAGCCTGTTCTGTTGCTCATTTACCTTACACCATTAGAAATATGATCTTATCTCCGCCATTGCAATGACTTATATTAGGCACTTTCAACAGTCATTTAACATATCCATATCTATCATTTCGAACTGTATTTTTTGTCTCTATCATTTGAAGTCAAGAGTAACTTCAGTTTTTTGTCACGATTTCTAAATTGAAATTCGCTGCTGCACTTCCCCTGCTTTGCACTCCACCAGTTCAACTCATTCGTAGATTGATTCACTTGATTCCGTGCGCCCAAAACAGACAAAATAGTAACATACCTGACTCGTATAAGCTGTTAGCATTGTTGAAGTGATCAGTCTAGGTTCTTTGCTTCCCAGAGCAAATCAACATCATTCTGAGGCCACTTCAAAGTGGCCATATTTTCTCGCTGAATTATTTGACCACTAAAGCGATGGTGTAGAACAATCCGAGACGTTCCCATTCAAAAGGAAACTCAATCGATTTGCAGCCACCGACGGTGCCAGTGGAAGCAATATCACCTCAGGTAGCCAAGCTACACTAAATATGAGTTTTTGTGGTGGTGCAGCTCACTCATTGGACAATTGTCTTCGAGGCGCTGGTCAGGCGGCGTCAACGTATCGCGCTGAAGGTGCACAACGGGATTTGGAACGAGGTCTGCCTGATGCGGACAGTCGCCAGCCACCTCAAGATTCAGCAACGAGGAGTGCAAGACGGAAACCAAAATGTTCGATATTCACAATTGAACAATGCAAAATCTTCCCGTACAACGGTTCCATTCCAGTGATGTCCACTGCTAACATTGACTCTGATACTGCCACTTCATCAGTGCCCTNTAAATTGTATGAGCAATCCGGTAGCAAATGTGTTGCTGTTGTTGTTGTTGTTGTTGCTGTTGAATCTGTTTCATGACTTCCTAAAATCATTATTTCATTGCTTCTCAACTTCTGATTGCCTTCCAAACCATTCGGGTTTCTTTGCCACTTGGCTTCACAACATCCTAACGTCTCCACTGATCTTTCATTCAATCCACTCATATTCGTTTATTGTTGTTGTGAAGTGGTTCAGATAGCTAGTTTCTTGATCTGTCGCTTCTGAAGGAACTGCGTTCAGTGCTGAACATGCGTTGTTCTCTCTCAAGAAGTATGATGTGATCGGTGTTTTGCGTAGATCTCGAAGTTGAGCTATGAGTCGTGGTTCGTTTGATGAAGCGAGTTCTTGAAACTCACACGAGTGCGGCTGACCCGATGAAACTGTCAACAAAATGGGTGCAAGATGAGAATCTTGCACGGCATTCGTGGAAAGAATACAAGGTACGAGTGGTTGCTGAAGGAGCACGCAGCTATTGTTGTTTACTGTTATTGTTATCATTTTATGCTATCATATCATGTGCCATACGGGAAGGTAACCAGACCACATTGAAGCGTATTCTGCAGTCAAATACGTTATGGGCACTAAAAAAATTAGCCATGACGATGAAAGCGAACAACGGGAACACTAGTGAACATCTCTTTTTTTTGCAACGATATGATGTGTTTGTGTCCTCGTTTCTTGATAAATGCCATGATCAGCCAAATGAGTGAAGAAGGTTTTTCCCGTAGAAGTTTGAGATTCCTCACCTAAAATCTAGAGATAATCTAAAGCAAGACAGCACAGTTAAAAGGGAATCCGAACCAGTTCTTCTCAAATTGCCACTCATAACGTTGGAAATGATCACACAA